CACACACACACACACACACACACACACACACACACACACACACACATGCAATTATGAAATATATGTAGAAATGCATTTGTGGGTCTGTGCACCTATAAAGTCTGCAGATGAAGGTGAACTCCTCCACGACTCCCTCGGAGGAAATGAATTTAAACTTCCTCTATATCTCATCTCTTTTAAACTCTGCCCTCTCTTGCCCTCCCTGAGTTTTCTCCACTTTTCATCGGTTTCTTCTACAAATAAAGACCCTTCGCTTCGAGTTTCTAATCTCCCAGCTTCCCCGGCAGCGCGGCGAATGGCTCCCTTGACATTTCCCTACATTCCAAAATCCCTCTCAGCCCCAGTTTTCCCGATTATCTTTATGAAGCACAACGGCATAAATTTACAGCGGCGGGCTTCATGAAACATTTTAAATTTAAATATTTACCAATAACATGCGCAGGGGAGGGATTAAAAAAGAAGAGGTGGATGGATGAAAGGAGGAATATGAGGAGGAGAGGAGGGAGTTGTGAGTCAGGATGTGGGTGATTTATACCTCTGACATGCGAGGTCACGGCGGAGACGTCAGAATAAGGGACAAGACTCTCCCTAGGTGAGGGCCACGGAGCTGCCATACAGACGCAGCTGTGGCTTCAGATACACGTGAAGCTCTATGAACCTTTTCTTTTCAGAAAAATGAATATTGGACAGAACATTATTCTGTGTAATGGAATCATCTAAAACTTTCTATCTGCTATAAGACACATCTCCGCTTCCTCCCACCATCCAGAAATGAAGCCAAAATATCCTGGATCACGAACAATACCAACGTGAGCCGATGGCGTCGTTTGGAGACGAGGAACCGAGGTACCGCCCACACGTGCTCCACCAATCATGAGTCAGTCTCTGTGTCAATCACTTCACCCAGTTTTTATAGCATCAGATAACAAATTAAAACCATCAGTGTGATAAGAACGACCTTAAATTACTTTTAACTGTTTCTTTTACTTGTAGTTTGACTTTTAAAGTTTGGACCGTGACCCCGAGACTCTCTGATTACTCCTGCGACAACTGTGAAGTTTTGTTTTTGCACATCTGATATTCCTATTTATTAATTTAAGTCACATTCCTAACTTTACCTTTACCTCTCGTTCTTCGCTCTGTGTGTAAAGCCCTTGACAGGCGGCTCTAACGATGTATGAAGCACATCTATCTATTTATATCCATCTATCTGTTAACATGGAGGAGGCAGGGTTTGTGACCTATCCTGCACACAGCCACCAGGAGGCGATTGAGACACTGTGGCTTCACTTCTAAGAGCTGTCCTGTCGTCCGTCTTCAATGAGACAAACAGGTTCATGGTGAGTGAGTAAAATCTATCGATACGAGCGTCGAGAGAGTGAACATGATGCTGAGGAAGACACACACACACACACACACACACACTCACCCATTGTGTTCTGCTGAGTTAAAGCGTCCTCGTGTTTGAAGGTGTGGTTGGAGAACTGTGAGCTGTGGTGCGTTGGAGTGTGGCCGTAATTCCCGGGTCCATCGAACGCAACTGTGCTGTAACCTGCAACACAAAGAAAAGAGTCTTTAGTTCAACGGACTCTTCACGTTTCTACTTTGATCGACGGTGACAAGTGGAGTCAACGTCTCGTAAACAGATCCATTTCTTTCTGAAGACATTTTATTATTGACGGGACAGTGAAGTGTGATGAGGACGGAGGACGGAGGAAGCCACGGCCCACGGCTGCTGCAGGAGCACTCGAGCTTCTGCATGTTGTTGTGTTTCTTTTCACATGAACGCTTGTTTCTCCAAATCAGCTTTAGAGTTAATATAAAAACTTGGTCCTGTGATTCTATAAATGGTTTTGCAGATGTTATGACCAGGTCCCGATAAAGTCAGAGCAACTTGGTGTCTCGAGAATCACTGACGTTAACAATAAAATATAAAAAGAAATATATTAAACTGACATTAAGTCACCTGACGACCAACATTTTTATTTAAATGATTTTCTGATTGTTTATGTCTCCGTCAAACCTGAAAACATTTCTACATCTTAAAATTTAATTATCTTAGTTATGTAGACTCCTAAGTCCCCACAACAACACTGTGTAAACACATTTAAGTCCCCACAACATTTGTAATACCAAGACCACACACACACACACACACACACACACACACACGCACGCACGCACGCACGCACACACACACACACACACACACACACACCCTCTAGATCTGTGCCTGGCACCCCAGACCTGACTCATGACTTTGGCTGACCTACAGGACACAACACACTCTCATAAATCATGCACGAATGACGCACACACACACACACACACACACACACTCACACACGCTTCATTAATTCAAATGCAACACTTTCACTGACTTTACTCTGAATATGTGGGTGAGGAGTGGGGGAGTAGAGAGAGAGAAGAGAAAAAAAACTCATTAAACTTCTTCATTTATCTTCTACTCACCCCTGTCTGACTACGCCCCCCCCC